TGAAAACTTTGATCGAATGTCAAGAGATGTGTCGCTTCACTGCCACTCCGCTGACATGGTTGACCTTCCGGCAAACGCTATGAACTGGGAGTTTGGGAGCTGAAAAGGGACTAGATCAGTCTATGCTATTAGAAGACAAGACCTATCGATGATTTCTCTACACTCTCAGAAGTCAATCTACTCTTTCACGAACACGAACACGAGAAGTGGAAATCAGAAAGAGACTTCGATTCGGATTCAAAGCCTATAACAGCGAATGGCTTGCACAAGATTAAGAGTTGAATTGAATCCAAGTGAAGGGTGGAGTGGTGGTTTTGAAGATCAATACAAAATTGTGTCCCGGAAAGCCGCCCAAAGATGAAGTATTGGGAGTAATTGTATCCAGTTCTATACGTAACATGCTCCATTCAAACTCTCGGCGCATTCCCAAAGCAGTTCAAGAGTTTTGGAATATTCTTTCTCATAGGAGCTGCGGCCCTACTTTTTACTCTGTCAATGGATCGATTCCGTTCTACAGTAGCCGTTCAAAATTTGACGAGCTGCATGACCGTATACTGGGTGCGCTTCGTTCCTATCGCTGATGGAACCAGGTCTCGCTTGCCGCGCACTGCGATTTTGAGATGGACACATTTGCAAGAGTTTTGCAAATTGAATTATTTTACCGCGCGCAGACATCTGAACACAATTCTTCAAGTCATCGCCTTACTGCCTCACCTTCTAGTTGCCTTATTCTACATCACTTTGCTTCTTCTATGTACAAGATGATCTCATCCATTTCTCAACGGCACACGTACCCGCGTGCGGTAAAATAATCAATCCGCAAAATCCCTGCACGGTTCAAAGAAGTTCATCTTGAACTTCACAAGGGCTGCGCCTCGCAAGACGTGTAGTGCGTGACCTAGTTTTGTCGACGATAGGAACGGACGTTCCCCGAACCACGAGGAGCCCCGATGAAGAGGTGGCGGGACGTGACCAAGAAGGACCTCGCCGAAACTGAAGTAACGGAAAAAAAAGATGAGTGAAAGTGGAAACATTTCACAAGAACAGCTGTCCCTGAAATGGCGCCGGATTAACGCGAAGAAGAAAAACAAGAAGAAGGGAATGCAACTGGCAGAATTAAAGATATCGAGGACGCCCTTTACCGTCAAATGGCAATTACAAGGCGAATCGCAGATAAAAAGCCACCATTTACTTTTCCTGACGTTGGTAGTACAGGAAAATTGAAATCGTTCTTCTGGCCATGCTGAGCCGATCTATACGTTTTATTCTCTTTGTAGGGGCACGCTTGCATGGATGCGTGTGCACGTTAAGATGCTTGGGGTTATTACGTTTCGGCTCAGGTAAAAGTTTGCACTGAGTGACTAAGAAGAACAGGAAATGTGATGAGCGCCTTTGATAACGTGACACCTACCAGCCGGACGGCATGGCTAACCATCCATAGCAAACCCAGCTGCACACCAGGGGCTGAAAAGCTACTTGTGGAAATACTAATGCCAAACCTAAAGGGCCTCACTTTCCTGAACTCGAAGACGTTGGAATTCGGCAAAATTGGGAGAGACGGTTCGGAAGGCGCTGCTGAGCAGAAGGGCTTAAGACTATAAACAACCGGCCCAAATCAAGAATCTAAGAAACGAGAACAGACGGACCGCGAGACGCCATTTACGACGCCGGAGAAAGAACCGGTACTCAAAACATAGAACAGCAAAGGTATCGGTGGTGTGGGCGTCTCCGTCAACATGCACTTGACCATCCACGTCAGCTTCAAAACTAAATAGTTTCGCAGAAAAATTAGGCAACTTAAATGGGGGCACTTCCTTCTGAAAGGATGTGGTTCGACCAGCAAACGCGCCAACATCATGCTCCATTATGACGAGGGGTAATTGGAGGGGTTTCATTTGCAGCAAACTAAAAAACTCTCTGAGAACATCAGTCTTCTCGCAGGCTATGTGAGCGACTTCAACAAAATTGGACAAACAAGGACTAACGAGGTCCCATGGAACCTTGCAGAATGAAATGGAATGAACACAGTAAAAGACGGTCAGAGTTGATTCATCACGACTAAAACTAGCTATAGTGACACGCAGTTCAAGAAGCCCAGCAGTTGCGATGGTTTTGGCGCCAACTGGCAGCTAACTGCCACAATATAATGGATTACTCAATCTCTTACCAGAGGTTTTGTTATACGCGAACGGGCCATCGCCACCTTCCCAGCAAATTTTTAACTAGTGTAGTGAGCCGTCAAGTTCAGGGAACAGAACCCTGTAACCCAACTGGGAGCATCATTTCACGAGCGAGTTAAGTTCCCGTTAACGATATTACTGAAAAGAATAAAGTCTGCTCAACGCACATGTTCTTGATAAGGCTAGAAAGGTGGAGAGCTCATGAGTACCAAGAGACATCTCTACTAGAAGCTCTTGTACTGATTCGTCGTCATGCAGTCGTGCAGCAGCAGGCAATTACCACCTAACGCCCAGGCTTGCCACTGATCTTCCGATAGCCGTTTCCGACTGCCTACCTAACCTCTACAGCAGGAAGGATTACATTCTTCGGCTTTTTCTTCCCAAAGTCTAGCATGCCTTTAGTTCATTGACTCGTAGAACAACTAATTCAAATGATAGACTAATGCACCCAAAAAGTCCTCCACCGAAAAGTATCGTCGAAATCCTGACTCAGTTTGTCATGCGAAAATAGCAGTCATTCCACCTGCTACCTATAATCTATGAATTGTACACAATATTCACCCTCGGCAGGACTGGCTGGACCCTATATGAAAAGCCGCTATGCAGGAAAGTTTCAAAAGATTCACTAAAATATTGCGAAGATATAAGATGTCTTCATGCTTCACGCTCAGCAGATTGGAAATTGTCATTGAATTCATTGAGTAGTGAACATCACCATCAACCTGAGGAGAGGATTCGTTTGGACGATGCCACTTCGCCGGTGACTGTTCATTATCGCTCTCGAAGATTATGCGTCAGTTGGAACAGAACACATGGGAGGGAAAGTCTATGACGGTCGCACCACCTTCGCTTCGTAGGCGAAAACATGCTCCTTACACCGGCTAATGGGAAAGCGGAACGAATGCTGATCGAATTCGACAACGTTTACAGAAAGATCGGTTCGCAACTGAAAATAAACGAAAGGAAAATGGACAGGTCCCTCTATTTATAGTCAGTAGCGCGGTGAGGTAAAATGGAAATGCGCCAAAAGTGACATCACCCTATTTGCTTGGGCCTCACACATGCAAACGCACTGAAATCTTTAATAGTTGGAAGGCCCGTAAGAATCTCGCTCAGAGTAGGAAAAACAGTTACAGTGTATTCCAACAGAGCACTTGAGATATCTCAATGCAGCCCGCAATGGCAAGGATTGCGCTTGTGCAAAGGCAATTCCATCCAATCATTTATGACATATAGATGTCTGCGAGATGCTGTTGGACAGTTAGTTTTTCTACGGTCTGCAATTTCGTATTCCGCCCCACTTACACCAGCGCTCGCGCTACTAAAACTCATTACGGGGCGTGAAAGGTTTCTTCCGCTCAGTGTCTTCCCGACTCAGTTTCGAACACTGCCAAACCTCACTCAATCTCCATCTCCTAATAACATAAGTCAGGAGGACGTTAATAAGGAAAGTTAGAAGCAAGGAACGATAGGAAGAAAGAGAGAAAGAAAGGTTGGGCGACGGATGGTGAGTTCATTAAATGGAGTCATCCGCTGCTCTCAGAGTAAGCTCTCATTGTGCACAAGGACCTGTCTTTTCGTCAAAAAGTAAGAGCATTGCTGTAAAGCATTTGTTAAATTTGTATAGAAGAATCGAGTTTTCAAGGAAATTGATCAAGGGCCAAATGTGGTCAAGAATAGAATGGACAACAGATGGGAAAACCTACAGGTTCCATGGAAGTATGAAGAAACTTTTGACATGGGACTTCCCGCTTTGCAAATACGTACGAAACCATCATCAAGGAGAGAGGCCTAAACAGCAAATGAGCACACTGTGTGACTTGGGAGGATGCGCGGAACAGTTGGTTAGCATAAACAAGTAAACAAACACATCACATGTACTACTGATGGATAACAGTGAAAAAACAACACCGTTATGGAACTACTACAGAAGGAAATCAAATCTTTATATCTCTATGTACTTCTCAAAAATGCACCAGTGTTTACCTCCAAAAGTTCTCATCAATGTCAAAAAGAAAATCACATTTACTTACAAAAAAGGGCACTTGGACAGATTATATGATGAAAATGATTTGTTTACACAATATTTTTATACCTTCTGTAAACTAAAGTAAATTCGAATGTTACTATATACGAGCATTGTCGAAATACGTAGAGGACAGAATGAGCCCCGTTTGGCATGAGATCAGCATCGTTCAACACCAACTAGGTAGCAAAAGAGAAACAACACAGCCACTATGACGCGACCCCGAGAGCAGCTATTTTGGAGCCTACAGAGCCCGTCCTACATATGTCCCACAATGCTCGAGACCATCCTTAGATAGAAACCGGGAGGAGAACTACACGCGTGGTGACATTATCACAGTAACAGCTCAACATTATGTGATAAAAAGTTAATTTACATCATTTTACATCATCGAAGAGAGATTTCAATNAAAAAAAAAACAGTGTTGACGGTGAAGACCCTCCTCTCCATATCAGCCGATAGCAGAAGCTTAAGTGAAAGACGATTGATACGAAGACTAGATCAGTTGTCATCGTTTATGCCGAGCCAGATTTTTTGAGCGAAAACTAACTTTCAGTTAGCACATTGGGTTTCTTAATTGTGCAGATGTTAATTAGAACACCGCTTCCAAAGCGATTGCTGGCTTCAAGTGACGATGCCTTCGCACCAACACATGTAGAGTGGCATCGCTCTTGGTTTTGGAATCATCCACGTTTTCACAGTTTGATGGTAGCACGTCGTGCGGTACAGCACGGGATCAATCAGTATCATCCATTTGATCCGCTTAACTCGTTGCTGGGATGTTGCTTTGGGAGTTACGACGGCATGACGCACTCGCGACGTCTTCGAACAGTGGCAGTGTTGTGTGACGGACTGTGGTCACTCTCGCTCGTCTCGCTTCGCTTCCGCGATCTCAACATCTCCGCGAGGGCGCTTATTTCGCGCGAGATGTCGCTCAGTTGGTGCTCGATGGCGGTGATTCGCAAGGAGAGGCCTTCTTGCGTTGAGTGGACGTCTTGAATCAGATCGTATGTGTTCGACGATGTCTGAAACGACGAATGAAATCGAATGAAGAGCGCAAGGGTAATACAAACTTGGTAGGGCACATACCTTTGCCACATCACCAAGGGAGACAAAGTTCTCGGCCAACTTCCGCTGATCTCTCTTCACTTTACGCATTCTGCAACGGTAGTAGGTGGAGGATCAGTCGTAATCAATGAACTGATTATCATTCCTTCATAAATTTGTGTTTAATAGAACCCTGCCGCATCATTGGACCATGGCAGGAGCAGAATTTTGTTTAAAAAATAAACAAAGAACAATGCTCAATTTCATAATAGAATAAAATTAAATGAATTAAAACATTTTAAATTTAAATAAATTTAAAATTGCTTAACCTAAGCAAATGGTTGCGGTGAGCCAGTGGATGTACAACTCAGTGCTTCTAGCTTCCCAGACCAGTATGGTACCATTAATTGAGAGAAATAAAAGACTTAGTGAGTACATGGCGGAATCGCCTAGCGAAACGATCCCTAAACAATGCGAACGGCACCGTTCTGCCGACCCCATTTCCCTTCCACGGAGCATAAATAAGAAGAGCAATAACAAGACGATTCTTATGAAGAAATAATTTTTTTTTGTCGTGGGTTTCTTAACATAACTTCAAGTAATAATTTCTTCCCAGCCTCATCAGCAGTTTTAAGCGCTTGGATCCCAATTCGCGGATTGGTTGGTAGCAGTTCATTGGGTTTGCTCCGGAAGGTTAATCAAGGCCGAAAACGAATCTTGTTCCTATCGCAAATTGATGACAGCCCGGAATTTCATGTTTCTCTTCTCAAACTATGTAAATATTCAATCGATCAGTGTTTACGTACTCATAAATGGCGACCAGGAACTTCCGCTGATGCTGCCGAATTCTTGCATAATCCACTTTCTCGACTTTCTTACGGAATTTGTAGATGAGCCACGTTTCTCTCAAAACATTCGCCGCCGAGTGTTTTAACTGAAAGATCATATCATTGAATACGAACAATGACGCATTGCGATCATTTCTCGAGCAATTCCAATATTTGTAACCTTCTTCGTGAGCTGCGTATCCATCATGAAGTTGTGCACATGTTTCTCGGCCCTGGTCAGTTCCAGTTTACGAGCTACAACCGCCACGACCATCGATGAGGCACATGTACCCTGAAACAACGGCATGAAGATTCCTGTTCGAAAAAATACAAGCATATGCCGCTAAAGCATAGCCCTCTCATATCGACGACTGCGCGCCATATTTCGCATTCTATCAGTAGTCGAGGTTAGCAACTAGGCAATAGTATTTAGAGGCGTGTGATTCGCATGAACACTGTGTCGGCCTGATCCAGCGGCCCAGCTCGATTTCATGAACCTTCCTAACAAATTATGCCACCATTAAAGCGCGATTAGGCTTGGCCGATCTCCTAACATGTACGACGGCGCCAAAAAGGATCTATAGAGATTTGCTAATGTTGTTATCCCTCAGCTAAAGGGGCGTTCGCATCCCTTGTTCAAAGATATGCAATTTAGAACCCAGCGAGAACAGCTTACCAGGATTCCCGTGATGACGGCCATCGTGCGACCACAATTCGTGTGAGGTACAATGTCTCCTAGAAAGGCTGTTTTTGGAGTTATGGACGAGATTGTCAATAAATGAGGAACCTACCATAACCGACGGAAAGAAATGTAATTGCCACCATCCATATAGATGAGATATAGTCCATATCCCTTGCTCTGTGATTAGTTCTGACATAATCCCTGAATGAACACAGTCAAAATCAGGACTGCATTATTTTAATTACATTGGCACCATATGCAATCACATTGTCAAAAAAGTGCCACACAAAATTTACCACACATTGTATATAGTAAACAGTAGCAACAATAAAGTAAACAGTGATAAACTTCGGAGAATTGAGAAAACGGCCTTTTTTATTTTTCCATGTGGTTAATCACAAGTCATCCACTAAGCGATGGTGTATTAGTAGAAGTATACTAGTATCATGCAGTTGCCGGAAACAACAAATCAGCGAAGCCATTCGTATAAATCGCAACAGACACACACACATACAGCTGCACATGAATACAAATACACACATACACGCAGAAATATACACAAATACACGTGCACATACACAAATGTACCCACAAACACATGGACATATGCTCCACCTTTTACGCAGTACGTTTGAAAGAAAACACTTCCCTCACCTTTCACACAAACGAAGAATCCAACCAGCCATTACCCAAAGAAAAGCTGTGAATATCATCAGCATTTTTCCTGAAATCAAAAAGTTCGTCTTTCTCTTCAAGGTATTCCCAGATGTGACGAAAACTCGCCTGGACAAAGAGTCATGAGTGTTTTGAGAATGAAACGCGCATTGAAATTAACACGGTTCAGACCGGCAATGCTTCGGCTGCTCGCATCGGTGAACAGTCTGAATGCACAAAATTCGAAAACGCTCATAAAAAATTGAAATGAGTAGTATTAGAAAGGTCCGACCTCGAATGAAGCAACATCACACGACAGAGCCAGTAGAGTCGGAAGAACATCGCAATCGAGACGAAGACGTTTAGTGAATGAAGAGCCTGTTCGAAGGTGTAGCGTTTAAATGCTGAACAGTTTTACCATGAATTTCTAACTTACCCCAGATTTCATCTTTCCCTGATCTGACCAATGAAGCACCTCGAATGGTAGCGGGCAGAGAGCGCATAGAAAGAGTTCCGCACCTGAAAAGAATGACCAAGCATTTGGGGAAGTTATACATTATGCTAATGGTAGGATCGCTCAGATGGCTCCCTCAAGGACTACGACTTTGACACATGAAGGCTTCTTACAATTTCCGACACCGATCTCAACTATGTACGACACCTTCAGTAGCTTCAGTAGGATGTAGTAGCTAACTAGGTACCTTCAGGTTGTGCCAAATCAGCAATGAGTAACTACAACTAGCAGAAGATTCAGGATTTGATCAATAGCGCAGCGCCAAACGTCAACATTGATTTGTCGCACCAAAATGTTGTTCTACCCCGTTGTTCAACAGCGGTTTTCATAAGATTGATTGCCTCGCCTATGGCTGCAATGAGGCGGCGTATATAAGGTGCGCAATTACAATTATTAGAGTAAAATATTGCTGTAGAACGTCTATGCCTCCATCCAGACTCTGAGTTATTGTCACTTTGCTCAAAACTGTTTGCTGAGCTCATCCAGCAATTTTGAATCCCACATTCCTAAAAAGTATTCCAGACTTTATCGATAAACCTACTCTTCATTCAAGGCTTCATAGGAAGCTGGAAGATTCCCTCCCTGATAAAATTTCTGGGCGGGCTTATCAGACGTTATCACTTCTCGTCAACTGTTATCAGCGAAGCAGTCGCTTTCTTTTCTCCCCAGCCGACGTAGCGCGGCTATACTGTCAATGCTGAGGGAAGAAGTCTTGTGGCCATTGTATTCTAATATGCATTATCAGCTTCTATCCACGCTCTACAGTCAACATTAAGAGCGTCTTAACCGCTTTCTCTTACCTTTTATAGGCTGTTATCAGCCCTTATCGCTTATTATCACATCCCATCACAGAAAATCCGCTATATTAACATTCTCGCACATGGATTCTTGGCAAAGGACTTTACGAACGCATACGGTAGGTGAATTCATCACCGAGATCTGTTCACAATAAGCGTGAAGAGTAAATGGGGACCTTTTGGTAGATACGTACTGATCTGCATCGTATCTCAAATAGAGAAAAAACATTCAAGAAACAAAAAAGGAAGTCAGGGCTACGTACCTATCTGAGCCAATCTTCGCAATGTTAGCGCCACTCGCCAATCATCCGCGGCATTCGCGTTCATAAACAGCTAAAAGGAATAGAGTAAACTTCAACCGCTCTCCTGAGCTATTGAATGTAGCGTAAGCTAGAGATATTACACTATACCTGCACTTCTATGATATGAAAGTAAGCGACGAAAACTAGGAGAACTATCGTGGACCCGATTATCAGTGATTTTAGACATAAACTCGATAAAGAACCCTGAAACAACTGCGGCGATCGTGTTATAAATATTTCGGCAAAAAGAAAATCTGAAGATGCTTGTGAAAAGGGAAACGAACCGTTGAAACGACACCGGCTGCATTCAGCTCGTTCTCGATAATCATCAATACTGAAAATGTGAAGAGTTTTCATTTCCGTGATTTTAAATTCTCAGATGGGAAGATTGAAAGCTTGCCACGAACCTATTCCAACGACTGCGAAAAAGAGCGCCCGATCGCTCATATGCCGCCGTCTCTCATGCAAAAATTCACGTTTGATCAAGCGCCCACCACTGAATAATGATCACTAGAGTTGAAGAAATCAACAGACAAGGAGAATTCGAATTTCTGAAGATTACTCCTAGGTGAAGAATAAACTACAGAACAGTTAAATGCATAATAGAATTGGTCATGTCATTCTAAATACATCTCCGAACATCGAAAGTTGAGCGCAGGAAAAACTCAACCGGAGGAGCTACTCAATAACCAGTATTCGACTTGAAGATAATTTAGGGATTCCCATTCATCAAATACGTATTTGAATAAAGAAATAGCTCCTTTTCCGGATGAGATAGTTATTTATCAGAAAAATACTCAACAACTGAGCTGCGCTTCATCTTACCATCACACAAAAAACAAAAATCATGAAGATAGGAACATCGTCGTTTTGAGTATAAACCTGGGATGGGTGAAATCACTTCTTCATGAAGAAGTTCATTATCAAAAGAAAGCGTAATTCAAGGTGAAATCATGTTTGTAAATCAACAAGGAGTTAATCGAAGCCAAAACAATAAACATGCACAGCAAAAACAAAAACATGAGGCTCACCTTATCATTTCTTCATTCCCTTCCATAAGCGGGACCTCTGAATCATCGCCTACTTTCTGTGCTTCCAAATCGTTTGAGAACGCTATAGAAACCGATTTCTTCGAGGCGACATCTCCTAAAAGGAATCCGTTAGATGAGCTTTCCTTCATTATGGGAACTTTTATGCCTTTATGGCCACCTCTCTCATTGCCAATCCAGCTCAAACCCTGAGGTCCAAGAATTTTCCTGAGCAAAGCCTGGTCTTTGTAGGGCAAATGAGCGACGCTCAGGCGTCTGCTATGATCAACCGGCGGTGAAATGGCGAATAGAGACTCGGAATTCGATCGCTGTTGGAGATTCGCCAGTCGATAACGCATAGGCTCCTTCCGGACACGTACGGCTCTTGCCGGCCTTTCAAAAAGGTGATAGGAACCGGAGGTGGAGACGCAGCTCGACTTTGGCGATGGTACTGGCGATGGTGGTATGTCGAACGAGAGCTGCTTAGGTGTTGAAACTAGACGATGTGGCCGTAAAATGCTCTTCGGTGTTGATTCCATGGGAGATGAGTTGGGTTTACGCGAAAGCCCATCGTATTCCGACACATCCGAGTAGTCAGATGTAGCTAAAACGAGATCTGGCCGATGAACTGTAGCTACTCCTTGGACATTGAGGCAGTTCTTGGGTGGGGAAAAGAGGCTTTCGTGCTCGCAGTGGGGAGTGGACGAAGATGTGTCCAAGCCTTCTTCTGCAGATTGGCATCGCTCTTCGGATAGCGATTCTTCATTGATGAAGGACAAACCGCTTGATGAATAGGATTTGGCGACTAGAGAATTCATATCTCATTCCTAGCTGAGCACGGTGTCTGGAATAGTTTGAAATGAGAAATGAAATTAGTGAGCTTGAAAGAGCTGCGAGTACAGTATGTGAGAGCGGTTCGAACAGCCACGATGAGGACAAAAATTTGTCACATCTACCTAGCCGGAAGCGTAGGAGGGGAAGGAAAAAGAGGAGAGAGGGAAACAGAAAGACAGAGAAAGCGAATGAAACACGATTGTAAGGTACTGTAGCAGCTGAAAATATGTACTTCTGCTTTTTTAGTTGTAAGTGCGATCGGCCATCATGAACAGCTCACTTGAAAAAAGTTCTCCAAGTAAGTCCGCAGGTCCCTCTGCCTATTTCTTACACTATCTACCTCTCCGTTACGAGGAAAACAGAGTAAAGATTCGAAATAACTGTAACAAACATGTAGCTAAACATCAATATCAAAGGTACAAAATCAATCCCGTTCTGCTGTTTGCCACAGAACCGTCAGCCTTTTGCCGCAGAATTTTTAGAGTCTATGATTGCTTGAAAGTAGCTCAGCCTCGAGTTCATGAGTGAACTCCTTGTCAGCAGAGGGATCTTCTTCGGTTATTCTTCAGACATTGCGTGTTCTTCCGCATTCCTACTTCTCTTTTCTGCCTTTGCTATAGAAGCTTCATAACATTCTGACCAAAGAACTGACTCAGTAATCTAATTAGAGGCATGCTAATTTACCGAGACCGCCACTCACCAAACCAAAAATGCCTGACATAAAATCTTTTTCAAGACAATGAAAATTAGGTGGAGCTGCGTTCATGACCCGAGCCGCACTTATTATTGACAGTCACTTTCATGAATCGACTCGGTCTGACGCCAACGGTGAGTAGGAGTTCTCCGAGCAGTTGAAGCAGAATTGAAAAAAAGCCGCTGTGAATAGACGTCCAAATCACCGAAAGAGAGTTGAGCCAACGAATCAGTAAAATTAGATGTTAACATAGCCATCGCCACTAGACATGACACGCACACAATCATGAAATCAGTAGCTTGCTATCCTGCGAAAGATACGACGTCAAAACAAGCTACCTTAATGTATTCCCCGTAGATGTGACAAGTAAATCACTGCCATTGACTGGAACCTCGCGAGAGGAATGCAAAATAAAAATAATGCCAACAGCTATTACCTATGGCTGCAAACTATTCTGAATCAATTCCAAATGTTCTAAATAATGGATAGACATTTATTAGCACATTCGGAATAAATAGAAAAGCTTAATGACAACTCAGATAAGTGGTTGCAACTCTACAACTCACGCGAAATTTTCTCACCTCATGAATATTTTACCCAAAAAAAANAAAAAAAACTAATCGATCGAAAGAAAAACACGAATTCCTCCAGTGCTTCTTTACAGAATGAGACACTGCAGGAAAAAATTTTTAATTCAAAATCAAGAACAGCCCTTGCATATAGGTATAGATCTGTACTACAGGATCAAAAGTGGCCAGAATGATCTGTGACGGTGTCGCTGCCATTCGAATCCTTAGGTACGACTTAGGCCCAATATGAACAAAAACCATTTGTTTTCGCAGGAACCATGTGAACCAAATTGTACAGAATAACTTCCTTTCATACGTAGAAGATCATGATTTTTTAGTTTTCTTTCGGTTTTTGCTAGATTCTACGCAGCTCTAAACTTGAGCAACTTGACTTATTCTGGTATTAACAAAATTCCTCAGAATGCGTAACAGAGACGAATGTAGTGTAGGAGAGATTTTTTGGGTTCACCTTTTAGCTATAATGACGATATGAAAAACAATGTAATCTTACAATTTCCTTTCTCAAGAATGGACGAAGTAATTGGTGGAACCTCCTATGACTTCAGAGCGATAAGTTTCACAACTCGGAAGCAAAAGTAGTTCAGAGGCTCGGTGAGGACGAGGTGAGGACGCGGGACAGAGTGTGGGATGGATCCTCTCATAGACCAACCGCTCTGCTAGACACTGAGCCGTATTTTCAGGGTTACTTTTGTAACTGAAGGATTCATCATCAATAAGGACATGCGGAGGCTCCGTGAAGGGAGGGTCAACGACAACGCTAAAGCGGTATAGAGCAAATCCACTCTCACAGGTGCCTGAGGAGAAAACCTCCCGAAGAGGGATTCTGTCAAGAGCACTTGGATTTTTTATGCCCAAGTTTTTTCCCGAGAAATATCTACATTTCAGTAGATCGTTTGCAAAAATCAATTTCAAGAATAGGTTCCATTCATCGGAATGCCGAAAAGAGAGAACTCACCGAGAAACCAAAATGAAAGCGACTAGCCCCCAAATCAGAAGAAGTTTGGATATTTGAAGGCAGCATTGCAACAGAGAAATTTCAGGAGATCGATAAGCATAATGAGAAACCGAGCTCCCAGAAAGATTCGGAGACAGACGAGGAAAGAAACGAGCGCTTTCAATAAGACTTTCTCAATTTGATCGCCAAACGAGATATGTCAAGGCTTATTTTACTTGCAGCTAAGCTGTACGTGCCCTGCTTCCCTTGCACCCCTCCACACTTGACAAGGTGAGCTCGGGAGATAGAGGGGAAACGAGAAATCTACTGTGTTAATATGCGAACACAGCGAGTGGACGATGGTAATTGAAGTCAAGGGAGATTTCAGCGCGAAGAGGAGCACTATATGAAGTTGGGGCGAGAGAGCGAGGTTCTCTTGTCTCGACTGTGATGAAAACAATGCTATGCCTTCACTGGTTACGGCCAAATAACAACTAACGGAAGAAACTCATGAAAACATTTCTCGAACTCAAAACACGTGACGACTTTTGCTGAATGAACACATACACACATACAAAGGAACTGCAGGATTTGCCCGAGGAAGCACTGACTTCAGAACCCAGGCCTGAAGCATGCGTCTGTTGTGAGCGGAGGTGGATAATATCGGTTCTGCTTTTGTTTTGGCAAAGCATTCTGGCTTGTGCCAAAGAGAAAAAGAGCATGCACTTTTCAGATTAAACCAAAGGATATATATTTACGAAATTTAGAGCTTTTGGGTTGGTTCTCAAAAGGCTTCTCGAACAGCGAACTTGATTCCTCTGCTCCCGGTTCACCAGCGTTTACAGAGGTTCCTAAAAACTTTCTCGCCTACCCTTAATCTTATCGGAAACAGGTCAAAAAAGGACTTCTAGACGATAAAATCTGATTATACCAGTGGATGAAAAAAGCAAACTAACTAGAAAATAGAATAGCGTTCACGACGAACCTCTTCCTAGACAGTATTCTTATATCATAATCATTTGTTGAACATGACCCGGAGAAAACACAAGTGTGGGAGTGGAAAGTGGGAAATCATGATTAGCGGGTAGGCTATGAGGTTGGCAAGATTTATTTTTGATCATTGACTGAATGATTACAGGTTCAGAATGCTGCTCCTTCATTAAAGCTTCTTATACTCCAACATTTTTGTTCATCTCGCTCATCAACGAATTTCCAGTGTAACCATAGAAATCTCGATGCAAGGCCGTTAACTAAACAATTACATCACAGAGGAAGGCTGCTTGACAGATCTGTCAAGCATGTGCACATGAATAAGGAAACGAAAACACCCCAGGAAGGAGAAGGCAAATTGCTCCGTTGGAGCTATTGATATGAAGGCTAGAAGGCCAAGCAGGATCTCAGACAAACTGAAATGCGAAGTAGTTTCAGCTTCACACGAAATAAGTCCAATAAGAACGCGTATCGACCCTGTTGAAGGCTTAAAGGCTATTTCACAGAACAACTACGAATGCCAGCGCGTAAAATGGTCCTTTTTGTGCAACACTTGAGCCAGAGGACAATAGCCGGGACAAAAATGGTTGGCCATTTGGTAACGCCTGCTGAAGAGTGAGAGCTCGATAATGTCTGAAATATGTGGGTGAGAACAGAAAAGTAGCCAAGCACTGATAATGATGTCAATCACTTCTTAGGGGCATGAAAACCTGTCTTGTCGGTTTGCTGTACGAGATGGTGTGTTTATGAAGAGTTGAATGGAACGATAGTACTCTCCAGAACCAGATCAAAGCACCCCAAACTCAACGTCACATGTGCACGTGCCAACATAGGACTTCTACCACTTGGAGCCGTAATGAAAGCAATTCTCATTCTAAATGAAGTCAGTTGCCTTGGAAACGCCTAATTCGACGGGCACTTTGTCCCGAGGAAAGTAGCCAGCCGGAATGGAATTGAAGGAACTCATAACTTTGCTTCGACTTCGAGATCGTCTCGATGAATTCCGAAACCTAAATTTTCACACGAGAAGATGCTGTCTGCAGTGGTTTTCAAAAGGACATCTCGGAGCGATCGAACCCATCTAGGAACATTGCAGCAATAAGCCGACGCTTTTATGTAAAGGCTACATAATAAGCACTGTGTGCACCTACAGTATACGCAGTGCTGATACCTTCAGTATAACAAAAGAACAACATACATACAGAGCAGATTAACTTGGGTGAGGATTTACCTTCGGCTGGGTATCTATGAGTCTTTAACTGGTCTGGGCGAAACCCATCTTAAAGTGCAAAACGAGTCGAAAAGTACATATTCGTCATATTCGTCAAAATGAATGAACGTCTTTCTTTATCCAGTTCATCCAGGGAACATATCCAGTCACTAAAGAGTCATTGCAATGAATTTTAGTAAAGTTCCCATTAGTCCATTTCCCCACAGAGGATTTTTTGATATTAGTTGAAGTTGGTAAGGTAAGGTAAGGGTAAGGTGGTAAGGTGTACTGAGGCGAGTGGTAGCAAGGGCTGTGTCAATAAACTGACTGCATTCAAAGGATCCGCGCTATGATGTAGCAACGTCAAAGCATGCGCAGGCCTGGTCCATTTTTCCAGCATCTTGCCGATTGTTGAATTCTTGCCGTTAACAAAAGGGTTGGCAAAGCGAAAAAGCTGACGAGTAATGTCAATCGAGTTAAGCGGTGTAGAGCGATCAAAGGTCGTTTTTGCTCTTCAGAAATTGAATAATTATTTAGCAGAACATTGGTGATTCAGTTATCGCAAAGGTTCCAAAGAGCGTCGATCATGAGAAATGAAATAGAAGACGTCGTTTAGTCCGAAAGCCTGGATCAAGATTCCACACATCGTCCGACCCTTCGTATAGAGCAAACGGATGAAGAGCTGGATTTACAAAACGAAATTTGTAATTAGACGCTCTGAAGGTAAGATAACTGTTCCCAAGGTAGGCATTATAGTCAATGCGGAAGATCCGACTTCTTGGGAAAAGGAAAGGAACAACGGTAGAATGCATGTTCTGTACTGTTATTTGAGTCTCGTTTGCTTACGCGTGCGTTCAGCTCTCCGATCTCCCTCCACACCCGTTCCCTCTATACAATTCAGTGGATCCTTCCTTACCCTATCAGAGCACCATCAGCTTTTCTTAGATCTGTCCAGAACGGCAATGGTGGTGCAGGAGTGGATGCTGTCCTTCACGGTGTTCGGATGCGAAAAGAGGGAAGACAAAGAACTTTGAAAAAAGATGCATTTCCGTTGAAGTTAGGAACTTGAATGTACCTCATTCTTCTATGTAACGTCCTGGGACTGCAAAGTATTTCCTCAAAGTTTCTCATGACCACGTTTCCAGAAACCGATTTTCGGTATAGGGAAATGTAGAATCTCTAGAAAAGACGATTTTGTACCAAGACACTTAGCCAAAGTACCAGGAATAAGCTCTCCACTCTGAACTGGACCAGAGGAGCAATCACATCGACAATACGCGCATAAATGACGCCTTTTGCTTCAGTTGCGTGACTACTCGTCCACATACAATAGAGCACGGACATCTCGACTTACTTATTGGCTTCAGATAAAACCCAGATAGGGCGAATGTATGAGCACGAAGACAGAAGATTTCTAGTGCCTGTCCCTATCATTCCATCATCCAGCTCCCAGGATAACGCGGAATTATGTGCGAGAATGTAAAAATCAGAACATATTCCGAGAAAACTGCGTTGTTATCCAGAATTAATTACTGAATGGTCAAAGAAGATTTCCCAGAAAGGAACTGACATATGGCTTTTTTGCGGCAGATTATCAAGGATTCCCTTGCAACCATTCATCAGAGACCATGTGCACTATAAAGCTATCGACAGAGGTAAAAAGCGACTTATTGCTCTGAATATGTTGGAAGACGAAGTCATGTCTGGCATCGCGGGACAGAATCTGAATTGATCGTTCCGGGCTAGGAGCTGCTCAGCCACCCGCCAAACTCATCTGGCCTGTCGTCGACAGACTTCCATCAGTTCCGATCATCAGCGCACTTCCTGAGCAATAAGACTCAGCGACTTCAGTCACTCACGTCGAGAATTGACTGGGTTGGTTCAAATTGAGGGACGAAGGGCTTCCCGAACTACGACGTATCCATTTGTTGAGGGAGAACAAGCGAAATCTCTGGACTCCGATGGTGCTTAACCGCTTATATTATTCAATGTATCCAGCCGGCTCCATTAAAACACCCAACATTATTTTTCACTGTGAACGAAATTCATTTCTTCAGCTAGCAGATCAATCACTGCTGATTCAATTGCCGATGTCGGGTGGAAACTACCGCTTGCTTGTCGTAAAAAGCTATCCACATATTGCAAGGCTCTATCTTGGAGAAATGATTCGGAGAAAAGACAGTGAAAGTGTAGGGTTATGATATAACTGCACCACAGTGTCAATTTGATGAGAGGGGACGTTATGCTGCCTGACAGAAGAATAATTACGATATCCTTGATAAGCTTCCGTTTTGAAGCTTATCATCATCATTAAAGCAACAGGAAAAAAGACAGAGAGTCGAAGCTGAATCAACATGAGGCGCTTCAATAATCGTTTCCAAGGTGACGAGCATCTAATCTCTTTCACGCACTATCAGCCATGAGGCGACCTCATCTCATTACTCCATTAACTCTCGGAAAAGGACCGTCCAGGTGAAAAAAAGCGAGTAGAAGTGCTGTACAGGAAGATACTGGCCTTAAACTCTTTTACAGAGCGGACATTAGATGTTACCGAAGAGCAATCATAAATGGAAGCTTCGTTTAAAGCAAAAGGCGCTTCCGGTGCTTGAAGGCCATGGATTGAATACCGAGGTCGGATCGAATTTCTATCTAACATGCAATCATAAAATTCTAGAATTACATCTTTTCAGACATACCGCTGGGACCGCTGGGACCGCTGGGACCGACGAGACTAGCATAACTAATAACCAAATTCACTGGACTTTCGTAAAAAAAAGTTTGCACCATTTTTAGGAATAATTATACTGGAAGAGTCAGCTGCTAGGTGTTTATTGCCTTGGGCATGGAATAAATAAAACTGCGACTGAATTTTTGATTGCCTTATGAGTCTTTAACCTACTATAACGCTGTTTTTAGTCGTGATCCGCGAAAAGCCCTACGTCTTGACCCCTATGTTACGGTTAGGAATAATTTTCCAACGGATGGAGGTTCATAATTATAGGCAAGGCGGCTATTTTGAAGAGATCGACGATTCACAATTGCGACTTTGCCTAAGATTTATCACAGGCGCAAATGCTAGAATTTTCGAAGCGACGATGGGTGGAAATCTCCCGAATACTGGCTGTTTCTCACGTGGATTGTAGCCTTTCACACGTCTTATTTTGAAAACACCCGCACATGGAGCAGGGAAATAGCTGAATCAGGGTCTCTGTCTATGGCACGTATATACCGAGAGACAGCTTCGATGCGAAGGAAGGTCGAGAATCATTCTTTCACATTTTGTTAATAAAACAGCATAAACATTGAAATCGTAGTAATTACGGTAAGGCTAAGGCCGAAAACATTGGCGCAGTTGATGTTCAAGATGATTGAGAGCGCAAGTGAATGAAAATGGATGTGAAATCCAATTCGTGTAACGTAATTAGAAGAAGGCAGAGTGAATTACGAAATGCCAACAACCGCATTGTGGCCGACATAATTCGATGAAGGATGTCAGCTGAGGAATTCTAAAGAATGTAGATCTGATTTAAAAAGTGAATTGGAAAGTATGCGAGTAGTCAACATCACTGGTGGGCAGCAACCTCTTAGGAAAAGCTGCTTCCAGACTTTTCTAATCTTTGACGTTCCCGAGTAAAAGGGTGGGAGTGTGGGGGCTACTACCGAAAGGGATTTGATGGGTGGAGGTTGAAAAACGCATTTGTGGAATATCCATCATGGCCTTCTTGCAATCAACCAGATGGACGTGAGACTTAATTTGAAATAAATGGCGCTGCGGCGAATAATCGGTGGAGGGAGGGACGGCTATATGAGAGAGCAGGAAAGGCAGAGGCAATGACGGGGCGACCGGACGTCCACGCTCGATGCATGGAAAACAAGCGCACGAGGTTGAAACGATTTAGTCAACGTATGTGATAAGTTTTTGGTTGAGTGCACTGCAATCGCAACCACTGGAAAGAACTCGGGAACGAATTTCATAGCTGGGTAGGCCACTAAAGAAAGGACGAAACGAGCCGCTGCTATGTCTCATATAAATTCGCGGATTCCGGGTACCATACAAATACAGTATCACAGGGGCATCTGGCAAAAAAAAATTTACAGCAGGGAGCAGCAGTATGAGAAACGAGGACGAGTATGTACTCTCATTTCAATCGTGCCATCACTCTCGGATTCACGCGATGAAATGAAAGGGTGGAAGAGCTGAAAGAGCACAAGAAGTGTGGTGCGCTGATTTCAAAAAAGAGAAAGCAAAAAGAAGGTTGGTTTGGATGATGCAGGGGATTGGACAGAGTGGTGGCTTCTCTCAAGGAATAAGAGTTTAAAAAACAAGCCGATTATGATCGCTGTTAAGAGTTTACACCTGCGTAGGCACCTTATGATTGAAATGTTTGAAAAACTAAAGAACAAGAAAGTTAGATGGCGACATTACAAGTCGAAACTCTCTCAAGAGCGGCGATAGTTTGGTATTCCCTCATATCATCTACAGTAGCGCTCAAAAGCCTTCGGTGAAATGTTTGTTCAGCCGTACTATTCAGTTGTAACTCCTTTCCTACCGGATCTAATCATGCGAAATTTCTACATTTGGAGCGTTGGTGTATTGTGAATATTTACCACTATCAAGCTGCAATCAGATCATGTTCCAGATATTCCAAAGAGCATGAATATAAAATCGACTGAAAATTTAGATGATGGTCCTACTAGAATCTCTTTCCTTTTTGTCCTGTCTAAAGTGTACGAGCGATAATGCCTAACACAATAGATGAGAAGAACGCTCATACGGTGCGAATAAGTGAAACGTCAACAACTTTAGTTTCAGCAAAATCTGCTACCGCATCAAACACCTTGCTTTATCTGTGGGTATNAGTCACATAGTGTGGGGTAGGGTAAAATATGCTCTGGGTAAACATATAAAAAATTTAGCGCGATTTGGTCCACTAAGAAAAAAGTTATGAGCGAAAAAGCGTCAAAACATTTCACCGCAGACTTTTGAGCGCTACTGTATATCAGGAGGATGGACTCACTCAAGAGGCCCGAAGCGCGCATCTATCTTATCAGTAACCTCCGTGTTCGTCTTTCTTGAGGTGTCACAGTTGTTTTATAAAAAATGGGGCTGTGCCGAACAACTTTTTTAACGTTAATTTTAACGCCATAGTTTTGATATGCTTCCAGGCCGACCTTAGGACACAGTAAGTGTTCCATGGAAATTGGAAGCCATGTTCGACACGTCGATTATCTTGCCAGTTTTCGATAAGAATTTTGACCATCGAGCCTGTTGTCGCAATAGCATCAGATTGACGCTTCCAAGACCAAGTCGGGTAGCAGCGTACGGTCATCAAAAATCGCACGAGCTATCCAATGCAGCTGATCTCCGATTCCTCAGCAATAGTGGGAGCTTCCCTGATCTCCGACCGCATTCTCCGCTTGCATGCACGTTGAAACTCCGAACGATGCTCTTCTCACTTGGCGTCGAAGACGATGACGATGTGCTCAGCCTGCAGGCTCAGAGTCTAATCCTTTAGGGATAGGTTGGGACGAGGTTTTCCATGCTGGCTTCCTTCTGCCCAGCTCCAGAGGTGGGTCGCTCGTCACGTTGACTTCCTGGGGCCCTGCGGCCCTTCACTGCCTAGCTAGCCACGGGCAGCCAGTTTTCCTTCCGAAATAGGAATATTTTCGCCCCTTCTCAAAAACTCTTCAATTTCTTGGGGTACAAAATTTTCGAAACTTGTTGAATATCGCCAACTTTACCACTGGATGATATACCTTGACTAAATGATACCTGCAAATTTGAACATACCATCAATGACGTCAATGCAATGCTGTGTTTGAATCCTATCCTCCAAACTGGGATTCCCTTGTATTTTTCGCAGTGAGCTTACTCGTCCAAGATTGGTCGTCGACTGAAATAAAAGATCATATGTTAGGACGATGGGTCGATCTTAGAATGGAAATTTTCGTTATCCTTAACGTTAAGAAATTTCGAGGAACTCCAAATATACTAGAAATAATCTTCTTCGTAAGTTATTTGTATTACATACATATTATATGTATTACATACATACGCAACTGAGGGGTTTCTTTTCCAAGAATAACGGTGACCTACGAAAGAGCTTACTAGAAGGGATCTGATGTTCTTGTACAGATTTCAACTTGCGAATTTATAAAGTCGCGCCATCACGATAAGTATCGAATGGCTCAGATATGTAGAATTCATCTCTATGATTTTACCGGAAGCCACAATTTTATAAGAAGTCATTGGAATCAACGTGAAAAAGCTAAGCTCATTTGATTAAATGCAAGTTCCCCGCTGTTCAACCAATGTAGGAAGTTCGTACCATATGATGGGCTCGTACAGTATGGCAAATAAGGCAGGACCTAAAAATCCTATTCTGAAGTTGGCCAGAAATTTTCGGACAACCCGAAACTAATTGCGAGATCGAAAAAACAGAATAGACACCCTTGAAAACCAAGTTGCGATTGCCCTGATGATTAACGTCAGGTTGACTGTACAGGCAAATTCGGCCTACAAGGACGTAGTTTCCAGAAAATTCCTTTTTTTTAGTGTTCCATTCCCTTTTCCCTTCATTCTCGACCCGTTTTCAGGACAGTAATCAGTTGATATGATGCGCTAACCAAGTATTTTCAAAATCGACTATCATAAATCTGATATCATGAATCATTTGCACTTAAGAGCGATAGTAGCTATCCACTGCTTCTTCCATAGCTCTTGCAGTAACCAGAGAAATCGATTTCTCTCCTTACTTCGGATTGAGTGCATTCTGCTCCCATCACATAACTTCCTTTCTTTTGTTCCCTCAGCAGCCATTTCTCACAATCACTTCTGATGAAGTTTGGTTTTTGATTTGAATGCCCGAAATGAAAATGCGAGATTTCCACCAGGCATCAAAGTCCTACTCTGACTACAATCGTGTCGGCTGCTATTCAAAATATTACTCGAAAGGTGCATCGGAATTATATGCCGTATCATATGAATTCTGAAATAGATGAAGTGGGTCATCGATTTGTGATGCCACCTTCACTGACTCCCTAACCCATTCTTTGAGTGAGGGCCATTTCCGAGTCATTTGGCCTCGTCAAAGTTCACTCGAAATTACGCCGAAGCTAAGTGCCTTGCTTGGCAGTATGGCCATACGTTAACCTTCTCTACCTCAACCGAAATTGCCATCACAAATGTCTTGATATCAAGAAGTAATCTTCAATTCACTCCAAGACGCCTCAGTAATTCCGAACTGTTCTTCACACTCTGACGCTCGTCTGAGGCATTTCTCGGGTCAAATGAGGCAGAACAACACTATTTCTGATGTACCGTTTCCGATGAATCGTAGGATGAGGGACTGCTGAAGGCTGTCAGTAGGATTAAACCTTGCAAAAGTTCAGCATACATTTCATTGAAGAGCAGTACGAATTGATGCAGTCAGGATGCGAACCCTCATGCTACACCCCAAGCCCGCTACCCTACCCACATCTGTCAGTGCGACTCGAAATGCTTACACGTTCGACGAAATCCCAGACCACACGAAGTGATGCTTAGGTAAATCTGTCCTCAAAATCGTTTCCCAACTTTGGAATGCAAATTTGAGGTCAGCTTTCCAATTCCACACGGAGATGTAAGTCTGTAAGTCGTGTTTTCATAAGTGGTCCACGGTCTGGGATCCTTCTCTTGCAAGTCATTTCAACATGATTCAAAGCGCATCCGTCCTTGCTCCACCTGCTGTCATCGGTAGTCTACAGCCTTGTCAGTAGCCCCACGGAGTTCTTCCACTTTGGATGGGGCTGTAAGAGAGCACAGCAACATGTTGTTTATGTCATTCGCTGTATTCAATCAAGCATTGTTCTATTTTGATTGACGCCGGTGGTCAGGGAATTCAGCAAGGGATCCTCTTTGAGAATCCTCTAGTGGGTGGCAACAAAACGGCAACAAGCTGCGAAAACATTAGTGGTGGGCGGTAGCAGAAGTGATGCGGAGAACCTCTGTTCGTCATCTGTGACATGTTTGCTAGTGGGCCCGAGGATCGATAGGTATTGTACAAAGAAGTCACCAGCTTGGAGCTTGGGCCCTGAACTGGCAAGAGAAAGCTGCTGGAAAATTTCCGGATGCAGTGATCCGATGGAGCTCACAATAAGCCAAGGAGCACTGCTCAAACGAAATGCATCAAGAGGGAGTTATCAACAAGGGGAGGGAAATCAACGACCGTTTGTTCCATACTGAAAGAAAGCCAAACGGAATGAAGTACCATAACCGGTAAGGGAATCTCTCAACCATAGCCCCTTCCAATAGCAACTAGTGGAGGAACGAATAAGGGACTCTAAATAGAGGTAGATTCGGCTGTTGCAATCTGATAACAACAGCTCCAGCTCCTTGTGGGGAACAGTTATACGACCGATGCCTATCGACGTTCTCTTCACCGCTTCAGCACTACGTCCTGTTCCGATAGAATGGCTTTGCATAGTTGACGACCTGACATTATGCAACGTTTCCTACCGTAATCGAATCTTTTCCAATGGTTGTTCGGGGTGGGGACCAGCTGAATTCGTTCATGGCTTTCATTCAACATCTTTATACCTCCACGTAACCGCAGTTGAAGACCCTTGCATGTCTGCTGCGGAAACACTAACGAATGATTAGAAAATGCTGGGTTACGAACGATTCCCGTGTTGAATGTTTCTGGACGACTCGGAATATTCAGACTACATTCAAGCTTTGCCCTGTCGAGCTCAATACTCATTAATATGCAAAATATATGCGAAGCGCCTTCGGAAGAACTCAGGCAAAAGCCCCACTCAATGCCCACAATTGAAAAAGTATATGACAACGATTAAGCATCGTTTTCATGCAGGAAATTTCCACTCAACTTGTCAACTACTCCAGTGAATGGAAAAGTATGGCAGTTAGAGAGCTATTCAATTCCGTTTATGCTGACAGCGCCGAATTCTTGGAAATTGAATCGCTAAGACATCTATGAACTTTCTTTATGAAAAACATCGAACGTACCTTGGCTACCGCAGGGTTTCCTGTGAGCAGTTGCCGGAATCCACCTTGGGCAAGGCCATTCATTCGCATCCAGTTCATTGAAATCTGAAATACAGCTACACATAACCACTCATGTAGGTGCTATGTAAGCAGAACTCTTACTTGGGCTACATCTGTGTTGGAATCAAATGATGACTGATTCGATCGACCTCCCAGGACGGAGCCACCGGTGGCGATGCCTCAAATATGATCATATTTAAGTATGGTGCGAGGCTCCAGGTTGCTTTGTAGATCGAGAGAAATTAAAGTAATTCATTGATGGTGCCTTGGTGAACTTGTCTAGTACAGGAAGCGATGTGATGGGAGCAACCCACGAAGGTACTGCACGACCGGGACCACAGGAGAAGCCACCCTCCAGGACCGGCCTAATTATTATAGCCGATACTCTTTTAATACCACTGGATACCCAAAATTGAAGCTAAATGAACATTTTTGACCCTACACCAACGTACTCGCTGATACCTCTTCTTGTTGTTATAGCAGTAGGTTCATCAAAATAATAAGATGATTTCGAAAGATTTATTATTCAGCGTAGGTACATTTGGATCTCGGCCGATCTGAGTGAAGGAAGAGAGGGGCATCAGGAACATTGAGAAACGAAGGAAGAAACAAAGAACATCTGACTTCGCGCTCACTTCTGTTGCCATTCCCGTCACGAGCTACGCCCCGGAGACTTTATATATGAGCAGATTAAATGAATCTGCTGTTAAAATCGTCCTCCTTTCGCGGAAAGGAAAAATCTTCTGGTTATAGATGTGTCAAGGTGAAGGTTCAAGAAGTTTGCATGGGCAGGAGTGAATCTCGTGTCTACAGCTTCATCGTCCATCCAACGATCGACTACCTATACCCCAGAAACAAGGATCACGAGGATCCGATTCTGAAGTGGTAGTAGTGGTTGATAATCGATGCGATCACACGGGATATCAAAACGCAGTAGGATAACCGCCGGTTCACCGGCTGGATTTCTTCTAAAAAGTTCCGAATAAAATTAATTATGTGTTAAGTCTCTCGTTCCTGGAAGGACGTTTCCACTGGTCTAATTCCAATCTGTACTGGCATCGAGCCATATATGCCTTTACAAAGATCAGAGGTGATAACATAGTTGGGAGAACTCTGCTTTTTTTCAAAATGATTTCAACATAAGGAGGATAGCCCATAATTATGCTCATTAACGTTTTTTAGCCGAGAACATACAGTTTTTTGATCTTATCTTTAGAAGTACCGGGTGAGTGAGTCGGTAGAATACCCCATCCTAGCTTTTTGCACGAGGTAATCATCTCACCCTCACCCCGCCACTCCTTCCCTACTGAAGCTTGCCTTGTAACCATATTTTTTCATCTAGAACCGTTTCTAAGTACAGGTCAGGTCGGCTACCCCTCTTCTGCACTTTAGTCCTCAGTGTTGGATAAGAGCAATGCCTCTCCACCTAATAGCACTTTCTAACTACTTGGTAAAAGTAAGGAATGAGGCCCGGCGTAAGCCGGGCGACCCGTCCCGACTGGTATAACATATGCTACAAAACGCGAATGGTGTGAGAAGAGGGAAGGCTTCAATTTGAAAGAGATAGATCGTATTATGGTAAAAATGTGATTGAAGTTAAAGTATAAGCATCGTTACACGCAAAAAGGACATGATTTCTTTATAGAATTACGGCTGACTCACCTGATATTCCGGCTCGGCGTTTTCGTTGCTGACGAAACTGAAAAACGTTGCATTAGGAGTGAAACCTAATTGATAATTTCTAGAAATTTCTGATGACTTCATTACACTTATTCATCCTTTATTAAATTATCATCCCTTTCTCGTAGACTTTCCCTATATGCTTTTGTTCGGATGAACTATTTTATCAATGTCCCTCGAAAATTCATCAATAATACGGAATTTTGCTGGAATTTTTCTTTTTTTTTNTTTTTTTTTCTGAAAAAGTATCAGTACGCCTAGATCGGTCTACGGCCAAACAATAGCTATCAAAGATTATAAAATTAGTATGCAATCGAACAGTATTCATCATGTTATGAGAGGGCTTGTCGCCCTCAATCTCTTTGTTCTGGATTACATACAAAACAGTTCCTACTATGTATCAATTCCCATCCGGATAAATTTTTTCGACCCAGAGCTACAATACGAAACCTAGGCCTTCCCCACAAAAATAGGTTGGTGAAAAGGACCAAGTTCTCGTGAACGCTGGGGCGCTGCAACAAGATACTCACATAGATTATGGTTAAACTCCTTCCCTGGAAAGGGCAAATTCGAGGAAGCCTTTTTTACAGGCACATTTTCCGCTAAGATAAACGTGGAACACTTCTAGGAAACTGTTTCTCCACACAAAAGCTTCTCTACCCTTCACCATAGGCTCACAATGAATGGGAAAGGAGAAGCGGAGCCATTGTGAACTTCATTCTCTGCCCATTTCTAGACTGTTCCGGGCACTTTCTTACTTTGGACCATTTTCTAAAACTGAAACTTCTACCTCAAAGAGCGGTCATTAAGTGAAGGTAGTAGCTAAAACTTACACTCCCGCGCTCATCGAGGCTATACATCTGTCGAAGCAAAGGAGTTGGCATCGCGATTAATCCTACGACGTCATGGGTAAGGATTATCGGAAATTGTATCAAAACAAGGAAAAATGCGAGACTACGAGACTGAGATGACGGAATGCGACATTATTCAAATTCACTGAACCAGTACACTCAGACAATGCTCTACTGCAGCGAGCAAATATGTTCCAGAAGAAAATCCAAAAAAAATTTGAAGACGAATGGGAATGGAACCAGCCCGTTGCAAGCAGCTCTGTGGTGTGTCGGATTTGTCCACGGCGCTGTCAGAAGAAAAAGCCTTCCGCTAGACTGATGAGCTTTTATGCGAAGAAACGAAGTGGAATAGTTGTGAATGTAGCAATTCCCAGAAACCCAGAAAACCGCGTGGGAAGTACTTCATCATGGAACAGAGGCTATGTCTTAACGGGTGGCAATCCGTCACAACTACACAATCATTCGAACGATTAAGCTGGATAAGCTTCTACTGCTATTGTAACGAACGATGATTGCAAGACAGATGAATGGAACTTGAACAATAAAGTGTACTTCTGAACCCCATGGCTTCTTTCACAAATAAGGCACCTCGTCAGACAAAAGCAAAACGATTTAATGTCTGACTTCCATTCGAAATGGCATGATAATTCAGATTTTTCAAAAAAGGAAACGTGAGAGCCCACATTAGCAGTAGAGAATGCTGTGATGTAGTTGAGATTCCGACTGTTTTTCCATTTGAGACGAATCGTCCTTGAAAGCACTTTGGAGAATGGGTCCCCTTGAGAATGCCATCCATTACTAATCGGCATGCATTTCTTCGTTCTACTACTTTGACCGTTATCCAAAGGCGAAGTTAGTGAGGTTTAGACTTGTTTTGCAGATAACTGAGGCACGAATGGAAGCAAAAAGACCAAAACTCCTTCTAGAAAATCCGCTGCTGACTGTTGCCAAGCACGCTTGTCAATGGGAATGTTAAGCAGCCTTGTAGAAGCAGCGAAAATTAAAGACTGGGCGATGTCGGACAAGCAGTACATCCACTTTCTTAAACAACTGGAAATACGCCCAGCAGTGAGGAGCTCCTGTCCAATTGGATAAACCGAAATGAAAGGAAAAGGATAACTCACTCGAAAGTAGGGGGTGGGCCGCGACAAGGAAAGAGGAACAATGACCGAAAATCTCCAATTCGGTATGCTTAAAAACATTCTAAAGTTAAAGTAAAAAACGAATAAAGATTAGGTGGGGGGGGGGGGGGGG